GATCAATTTTTCATTTAATTCTATTCTTAATATATCCATTTAATAATAACAAATTGGTTTACGGTTAATATAATTTTCAATATCGATGAATGTTTAAACTAGTACTGTCAAATCTTTGTCAATTATATGATATACGCCCTCTCAAATTTATTCAATATAATATAATTCAATTATTAATGCAGCAGTAATTTGGATCCGTCAGCTGATCTATAAGTTAACTTAATGATGAACCATGATCGTTTTCAAATACTTTATTTTATGCATTTGATCAATTTTGATCATATTATTATTATTATAGTGTTACTAATGAAAGTTGATATAGTTCAATAAATGTTGATCAGATTATAGATATTGTTTTGTTCACTACAATTCGATCTATTTTCAAAGATCATTCTTCATTTTAATATTGATTTGTTGAGTACGTAGGTATTATAAGCACAACTTGAACTGTTCTATATAGTTAAACAATAGCTATATTCTTACGTGGATACCTATAATTCCATTAACCGCTGTGACTAGGTTCGATTTCCAATTAATAATGTATCGACTAAACCAAATTAACCGCTACGTACCAAAACACCAGTTGTATATAAAGGCCAACGTCCACAAAGCCAATTTTTTGAAAGTTTTCACAGATGAAAGAATTTATATACATTATAAGTACCTAGATTAAGAATCTGATTTCATTTTATGAATTGGAGGGATCAGCTATTTTGTAATTAAGTATTATCATCATTTTCAGCTATATATTGGATTTGTCTCTTGGTGCTTCACCATTATCATGGACCTACTTGACCTTCTACACCTGAACGTGGCATCATCATGGACTTTTAATGCGGGTCGTACACCTAGTTGGAATATATTATTGAAATAAGCTATAAGTTTATACAAGTTTTGGTGTTAATTAGGACCTCCAATTACTGTTTAATATAATTTCATTATAAATAGATGATTGAATTGTATTTATAGATTTGACTTGGAATCCAATTTTAAGTCAATCTATATTGAAAATCTTATTCAACTTTTATGAATCATCAATTGTAGTATTTCAATTCACTGAATAAATGATCGTCATCTTGGTATGGCTTTCTATACTGATCTTTAATTTGATCATTTGATCTTCACACGTTGATTCATGTTTATCAAAATGTTGTGATATTTGTAGATCTTGTAGCAGTTGTAAAGTCAATAGCATAAACTTTGGTAATGTAATATATTATGATTTTTCATTGTGATAGACCTAATATCCTTTCTATATCAATCAATAAATATTTTATTGATGTCAATAAGCTTTTAAAAATCAACCACACTGATGTTGTTATGATACCTTTAATTGAAGGATTGAAGATGTTGTGTAAGAACACCACACCACTAGATAATAGAAAACATTAACTGATCAAACTACTGTTTAAGCTCTTGATGTTTAAATGCATTGTCCAAATATTAATGAGTACATAATTGTGATTTGTAACCTGTCTTACCCAAAAGATCAGTTTGAATTTTAGGTCTATACTTGATTCATATCATAGATAATCATAACAGGTCGCGAGCCGGCAGCAGTAGCAGCAGCTTATTTAGGTACTAGTACCTACTAGTAATAATATTAATATTAATTAATTAAAAAATTTACCCGGGTCACCCATCCCGCATCCCTTGATTTGACGTATGAAGAAAGTTTCTTTATTAGCTACAGCAAAACATGAAGCTATTAAGGTTGCACATCTAACTAAATTTTTAATTTAGAAATGCTTTCCCTAGAGTGACTTTTCCGTGGACCATAATTAGAGTAGAAAATTCTAATTCCACTGAACTCAATATTTATCATATGCCTTTGTTTTAACTTGAATGTCAAGAATCAACTTCACATACATTTACAAGTTGCTCATACATTTTTGAATATAAATTTCAATACACAAAGTGATCTTATATACTTGAATCATATTGATTGTAATTAATCAATTGTTCTTGTATAGAAGGATCATTATTTACCTTTTTTTCAATCAAATTCTATATAGCTGTAGCCGTTAATATTAATCACTATATTAATACTTATAGATCACTTTCCAATCTCAATAAAACAAATATCAATTGTAGACGTCTTTCCTATAGATCCGATAATTCGATATAATGGAGAATCGATTTTGTGTAATCCATTTACAAGAATCAGATTCAATATTAGCCGCTGGGGTTTAAAACTATATAGAAGCTTCTGTACAGCTATAAAGATTATTAGTTAACCACAAAACCAAAATTAACCAGCTTTCAAGTTTAAGACTTAATTTCCATATATAAATACAGCTTGATATCTCTCAGTTTTCAATTATACATGGATTTTTTTATTTAATCTTCTCGATATAACATCAAAGTTCCTTATTTTCAAGTTTATCAACATGCAATCTCTATTGAATTAGTTTCACGAGGAGCTCGATAATTACTAACCTTTCTATAAATAATTTTCATATTTGAGATTGACGTCATTAGCCTAATTATGTTTAATATTTATGTTTAATGTTGATTTAAATTAAAGTATATAATAATTGATCAGATTTATAAATATATGACAGCTTGAAGAGATTTTGAGTCAATCTATATTGAAGATCATATATCTTGACTTTTATAAAACATCAATTGTAGTATAAATCTTATTCATAATATTATTATAGATTTTATATTCAGTATCTTAATCATGCCTATGATTATACATACATTGTACCTCTAATTTATATACACTCATTGAATGTTAACTAATGTGATCATACGGTTATTTCATATTAATTGATAATATTTCAACTTAACCGCCGTCAATATATGTATTTGTGTACGTCAAAATATTGAAAATTAAAATTCTGTGTAAAAAGCTAAAGTCAAAAATTCCCAAAATTAATATAATAAATTAACCAACATATAGTTTAATATTTTCCATAAATTGTGATATAGTGGTCATGATGAATATATCCATTTCGTCAGCTAATTGATATTTGATTGATGGGCCGGTTTAAAATAAATTTAAATCGTGGTTGATATTTTTTTAATATTTGTTTGAACCTTGTTTTGGTTTTTGTTCTTAATTTCTGTATATGATATTGTTAACAATCATTATGAATATGTCTTATAGACCCCTAGCTTGTTTATAATTTGGAATATTATATTCAATATATAATAATGATTTGAGTATGGATTTCTATATTGATCTTTAATTCGATCATTTGTTCTATACGTTTGAGTCATTTTTTTCACTTTTAATTGTGTTATTTGTAGATGTTATATGAATGTAATATTATAGCGATTGAATGTATGTAAACCTCAATACTTTTTTTCTATATCAAATCATTTGCATCCTTTTAATTGAAACCAATATTCTCATTTCAAAAATCAGTCACTGTGATACTGTGATGTGTAACTTTGACTGAAAACCATGTAAAGTTGAGATAATTGGATTAAAGATTAATTGATCAAACAACTGTTTAAACTCTTAATCAAATGAATTATCCAGATGTTAATGGATAGGGTCGCGAGCAGGTACTACTAGCGTCGCCGGCTTATTAAGAAATTTACCCGGGTCCCTCATGGTCCCTCATCCATCCCTTGATTCTTATGAAAATTACTTCACTAAAAAAGTTAATTCAACAATTTATATAATATGAATGTTTTCAAAACTGATTGAGTCGGTTTGTGAACGGGTTGAAGCTAGACAGTTTATAATTGTTTTTGAGTTGAACCAAATTGGAATTATCAGACATAACAATGGTATTGTGGTTTAGCAAAAAATAATTTTGCTGAATTTACTTCACTTATATTAATTTTTTGTAATGATGGAAAAGACATGATAATTTCCAACTTTAGCACAAACAACGGTTAGCCCCAATTTTCCCATACAAAAAATAAGGGCCTACAGCTAGTTAAGATTTTCAAAACTTTAATTTTGTTAGTAGAATTTAAAGTCTCGAATTGTAAAACTTTAAAATACGCGCAGAAATCAGGCCTGAAATAGCATACTTGAAGCTACCACCTGAAGTTTATAGAAATTGACTGCAAAATTAATACCACAGAATCAGGATAGTAAATTACATATGGTGTGTAATTTTCTAAGAAATCGGAGCGCTAGTTCTGAAGAAAATCGATGTTTAATGTTTTCCCATAGTTAAGGATTTTCGGACAAATTTTTAAGACTTGTGGAAATCAGGACAAATGAGAAATATATAATTATCACAAGATAGAAAACGAGTTGAACACTCTAACTTCGGCATCACATCTTTTCAGTACTACGCCATCCATATACCAGATTTCAGATGATTTGAACCATAATCCAGAGAGCTATCTTCAAATTAGTAGGTTTTTGGAAAATGGTAGAGAAATTTTTTTTTTGAAAAAGCTTTCAAGTTCTTAGGCTTATGTAATTTATGTCACTTGATTATATAATAACTTAATATTGTTATTGTTTATTGTTTATATTAATTAAAATATTGATTCGTTAGCGCTTTATATTCAAACATAAGAACCCCCATTGATACACTTAAGATGTCATTTTACAATCAAGATGTTATAGATTTGGCTAGTTGCCATCCACAGAAGGATGTACTTGGTTTACTAGATCATGAGAATGACACCAACACTTTGATGATGGATGAAGCACCAATTGAATTTTCATTTACTAAATCAATTTCAACTTCAACAATCATGGCATTACTCAACTTGCCACAGTCTAATAGATGCTCAAGAGGACATGTGGATTATTTAATTGTGAGTGTCGTACTATATTAATGATCTTATTATAACTTAATATAATGATCTATAATTATAATTTATAATATAAATTAATTAGATCATCAAATTGCATATGAGTTCAATATATTAAAGTTTAATTAATAACTAGACTAGATCTAGAATATAGGTCATGATGATAATCATAACTGATACTAACCAATTAATTACAGAATTTTTTAAGAACAACTTGTACTTTTTTGGTTTTCAGTAAAATTTCAAGTTCAAATAATTACAATATGTTAAACTTTATATCAAATTTTATGAATGAACTAACTTCAGATGATATAATTCAAGATATTATCAAAATGACCATAGAACATCACAAAATAATATTTTTAATGAAGAAGAGATCAAATTATACATCTGAAGCTAATGTCGGTATTGAATATCAAGAAGTTGCACTGCTGAATAGGTATGAAACTCAGCTTCATGATGATCCTGAATATTACATTCACCACAACACAAATTTCATAATAACATATGTCTTTTTACATAACATCAATAGAATGTTTAAATTAATTTTTAATCATGAACTATATCCAGAAAGATTAAAAAGTCTAATTCAAGAATATAAACAGAAAAGTGAAATTCCAATCATGCATCTCTTACAATCAAAGAAAAATAGCACATATAATCATACAGATTTTAGAATCAGAGATGAGGTTAATTCAAAGAACAATTATAAAAGGTATTTGGTTATTAGTCAAGCCACTGGATATAGAAAATATTCTTGTAATCTAAAGGTTCTTGATAGAGATGAAATTAAATTGGAAGACATATTTAAAAGAATAACCAGATTAATGAACATAACTATTAATGATAATAATATAACATCATCTGTATCAGAAATAAATGATCAGTTTCTTTCAACATATATTAAAAATGGTCCAGAACGCACTGAAGTGCTCCAAAAGTTCGATTTGGATTGTTATGATAACAATAAAAACTCAAGAAGGGCTCCAAAAATGCCAAAATTGATCAAAAATTTATTCATTGATGTAATGCTAGAGAAGTTAGATGATCTCCAATTAATAATGAACAATTTGAATCAAGCAGCTAATGATCAAGAGATGAATGAATCGAATTACAATGATATTGACTGGGATATCTTTGGAGGTGATCATCCAATTGATGAAGATGACAATATAAACAGAGAGTTGAATGAATCTTCCCAAAATGTGAATTCTGAAGCTGAGGTTGAAGCTGATGATAATTCGTTAGAAGAAGAAGAAGAAGAAGAAGAAGAAGAAGAAGAAGAAGAAGAAGAAGAAGAAGAAGATGATGATGATGATGATGATGAAGATCTAGAGTTTATGAAGCAAGTTTCGTTTGAAGAAGCACCCCTTGTCTTCTATAACTTTTTCATGAAAAAAATCAGACACATCACTAAAGACCCAACAGAAGCGTTTAAAAACCTAATTTTAGGTCTATACACAGCAGGGGAAATGACAAAGAGAACCAGTGAGATCATATTAAGGAGTTATCAGAACTCTTTAGATTCTATTACTGGTAAAGGTGTTTTTGATAAACCTGGTTCTAATTTCATAGATTGTTCAGCTAAAAGTAGAACAGAGCCATTTTGGAAATCAGCAGTTAAAGATTTTAAAACCAGTGGTTTTAATTTGGAAGAATTAATTACAGAATCAAATAATTATGAAGATTCAAATGTTAATGATGAAGATATCAACAATTGCAATTTAGAAGAATTGAATGACATGTATTTAAAGGAATTTTTGAATAAACTAAATGGAAATTATGATAAAGAACAAAGACCAATTGAAAGATTTTCAGAAAATCTAATTAACACAATGTTACATTTCAATTTAATATATAAAATCCATATATGTCCTTACTGCAAAAGTACAACGGACTATATCAACATGGATTTATATAATGAAAATCTTTTTAAAAAGGAATGGACTTGCAATTTATGTCAAAGGTCCATCAATAAGAAAGGTTATACAAATACAGGTATGACATCTGATTACTTCTTCACCATTTCTCCAAGATTGTATATCACATTTGCGTTTCTGAACTCAAGCATGTTTGCAAAACAAATAATTACAAGCCATGAACTAATCAATAAAGAGATAGATAATTATGAACCAAATCATGATTCACCTCAAAAACTTATCACTTTTCAAGAATCAAAATTAATACAAGATTTGAAGCTTGTTAAAAAAGAATATACAACAGGAATTTTTGACCAAGAACATATAAATTCTGATTCTTTCCATTATTCACCTGAAGAAGTTCATGTTAATTGCGTCTTGGAATTTGACGGAATTGCCATTTCCAAGAATCAATATTATCCAATCTCTTTGAGAGTTTTAGACCTCGAAGATTCATCAAATAAATTTCCTATACGTTGTTGCAATTTACCATCAATTATAAAGAATTCAACTTTACCAAATGCTCAAAGTTCTTTCACATCATTTGTTACGCCATTGTTAGATGATCTAGCACTAAGTGATACAAAAGGTATTTACGTTATAAATGGTGGTTCGAGAGAAAAAGAAATCAAAAAAATATACATTAAATTGATAAATGTTAACGCTGATAGTGCTGCATTGGATAAGATATTGTCCACAAATGGACCTTCAAGTTGGCTGCCTTGTAAAACATGCACCAAATATCGTTGTTTACATCATAAAGACAATCATAATGAAACAAGGGATTTGACTTCAGTTTTTATTGAACGTGGTACGGAAAATGTTTTGAATGATGAAAACTTTTTACAAGAAACAATTAATAACTATAAAATTGATAGAAATGAAGGAACTTGGTGTACCCGTGAAGAGCTAACAATGCAACCACCTGTTGTAAAGGACAACCAATTTAGACAAATGGCATTTGAACTTATTTCAAGAAATCCAAAATTATCAAAAGTTCTAGGCTATAGTTCAAAATCTAAATATTGGACCTTCAGTTCAGCAATTAGTTCAATTTCCACAGTAACATTGAATTTAGTTCATGCCCTAATTGAAAATATTGCACAGAAACTTTTATGGATGTTATTATCAAGAGATCAAGGATTGATTGATATGCAAGATCTTAACGGTCAAGCACTCAATTATTGTTTAGATGGAAATACAAGGCCAATGTTGGAAGATTATATCAAAAAGAACAAGCAAAATTACCCATTTGCTTTCGGAGAACCTTACGATATTAATAAATTTAGTTCAAAAGATAAAAATGGAGGATTGAAGGCAGAACAATTGATGTCACTCTTCATTTTAATTACTTCAATACTTTGTGTTGAAGGTCATGATGCTGGAAATATCAACATTAATAGCAAATTGATTGATTTGTTTAGATCATTTACAGTTATTATGAAAATTGCATTTGCAAGAAAAATCACAAATTCAATGTTGAATGTACTAAAAACTAAAGTTGAAACATTTATTTTAACATATACAGAAATGTTTAGGGACGATCAAGGAAATGACACTTTAAAATCTATGAAAAGTATGTATATACATACACTTAGTCATTTATATGATTCAGTTCATATGTTTGGACCTCCAATTATGTTTAGTGGGTATTGTATTGAGAGGCAGATGAATCAATTAAAGTCATCTAATGATTCCCGTTGTTCAATCATAAAATCAACAAACAAAAAAGAAATCCTTATGCAAACCATATCTGATATCGTTTATACAGTTTATGAACAGGAATATGTTGGTAAAGTTGCAAAATTAAAAGACATTGATTTGTTTGATGATCATAGATTAAATGATGACATTAATGATATTGATAAATTCTATAACGAATTTATAATTCCCAGAATAGGGTTAACTGAGTCAAAAACTAGATTTGAAATAATTGAAAAAGTCAATAACTCAAATATTCAGAAACGTTTGTTTCAAAAAGACTCTTATGGTCTTTTGAATAATTTTAAAAGACGCAAACCAAATGATTATGAAAATTTCAAAAACATACAAAGACAGTCATTTCAAGATTTAAACATTGAAGAAACAATTGAAATTTCTGAAAATAAGATTTTTGGTACCCATGAAAATAAGAAAAAGCCCATTACTTCACAATTTGAATTGCCTGAAATGCAATCTGAAATAACAAAGATCTTGAGAAATTTCAACTTGTCAAGAAACTACTGGGACAGCTTTTTATCTTCAAATTTAAACATAAGACATAGAGTTTCAGTCGAAATATTAGGATCCATGGACATAAATAAAAATTGGGCAATAAGCAACATGACTGTTACTCAAAATGATCCTGTGGATATCAATAATCGGATAGCTGCTTATTTTGGTAATTCAAATTTCAGAAAAAAGCCAAAGAGAAATGGAGTTGTTGCTTTCAAATCCAAAACCAGTACTGATGATAATATACCAGATGAATATGTTTTGCAATTCGGTCAAGTTGAAAAACTCATTCAATTCAAGAAAAATGGTGAAATCGTTTTAAAAGCTGCTTTATAAATTTCAGTTATTAATGATATTGAAGTAATTGAAGATCAAAATCTGACAGTGGAAATGATAGAAGATCACCCAGTTAACATGGCATTGGGCTTTAAATCTAAAGTTGGTCCTGATGATATCAAAACAGAGTTTCAACTAATTAATTGGAATTCAATAGTTTCATTGGCGTTTCAATTCCAGACTGATAACCATCTTCTTTTCATGATGCAAGATGCTTTAATTAACTTCGAGATGTTAATGTCAACCAATCCATGACTCCCACATGCGTGTACTTGGTAACCTATATAATGCTATAATCCATTAAGCTATTGTACTTCTGATTGATCTAAATTATAATATCGTAAAATAAACGTTAATATTCTAATATTAATATCATGGTGTTGAGCTGTTTATCGCGAAATATTCTTGAATACTATAAAAAAAGATTTAAGAAAATTTACTTTCTTTCTTTTACCAACCCTTTTTGTAATCATCAATATCATTGGAATTTGGTCATGGTCATGGTCCATGGAGCGCTTCATTCATATTGGTGCTTGGATCATCTGGTGGTTCAGTGAAGCTGAAGCTGCTTATTATTACTGCTTTTTTATGGATTGAAGGGCTTAATCATTATATTGTGTTAGGTTCAACCATGATTATCATCAAGTTTATGAGATTTAAGGCTCATTATCCAATACATTATCAGGGCGCTAGGCAATAAAATCCATCTTACAATTCCTATCAGTATCATTTTGTTGGTGGATTCAGTTTTTCTTTATTTTAAAGAGTTTATTTATTAAAATAATTGGATGATAGAAGTTTGAACATGACTTACCACGGCGGTAACTGCTTGAAACGCTTTATCAAGAGAAGTATATTGTTTAGTTGCTAAATTGCTTCAATTAAAATTGCTTAAATGATTGCATAAATGAATTGCTTCAATTAAAATTGCTTAAATGATTGCATAAATGAATTATTTCAAAAATTGCTTAAATAATTGCATAAATGAATTGCTTCAATTAAAATTGCTTAAATGATTGCATAAATGAATTATTTCAAAAATTGTTTCAAAAATTGCATAAATGAATTATTTCAAAAATTGCTTAAATAATTGCATAAATGAATTGCTTCAAAAATTGCAGCTTAAATAATTGCTTCAATTAAAATTGCTTAAATGATTGCATAAATGAATTATTTCAAAAATTAATGCTTAAATAATTGCATAAATGAATTGCTTCAAAAATTGTTTCAAAAATTGCTTAATTAATAATTTGCAAAAATTAATTGCTAATTAAAAAATCGCTGGAATCAAATGCTTAAACATTGAATTACAAATTGCTAGTTAAAAAATTGCTAGATCAGTCAAATGCTTAAACATTGAAATGCAAACTGCTAATTAAAAAATTGCTAACTGAGCTATTGCAATTGATTGCAAATTTACTTCATATTCAAATTCAAGTGTTAATGATTGCCCTCATGATTTTTGAAAGAGTTAAGGTTGAATTGGTGCTTACTTATAGATTGATAAAGGCTTGGAATCAATTACAAGAAATCTGATAGCACAATACCCTTCATGATTGAGTCTACTCAATTATATGCTTTCAATCCATACTGTTTTTTAATTATACCCATTTATTTAACTGAATACCCATTTTGAACGTTTTTTTTTTGCTGTCTACATGGCTTTTATATTCTTGTGCTTTATGTTTCATATATTACTTGCTTAATGTGCTATGTTTGGGTTATATATTTGTTGTTCTATTATTTGTTTTATATGGATTAATGTATAGAAGTTACAATTTAATTAATTTGTCCTAAAATTTGATTTCAATTTTCATTTGTACTAAATTTTCTGAGCGCTTAATTTAATATCTGGACAAATCTACCCAGACCTGTCCTGGAACCTTATTAAGCGTAGTATGCAAGAATATTTTTTAAGATTTATAATTTTGGTCTGAAATTTATAAATTTAACCGTTGTTTGTGTAGTTTGTTCCTTTTAAAAGCATAGAAGAATTTGAGTACGGGATTAATTATTCATATGCATTAGTTTCAATTTGAATGTCAAGAATTAACTTCACATACATTTACAAGTTGTTCATACATATTTGAATATATAATTCAATACAAAGCTAGTGATTTTATATACCTGAATCATATTGATTGTAATAAATCAATTGTTCTTGTATAGAAAGATCATTCTTTTTCTTTTTTTACAAGCAAATTATGAAGACGTAGCGGCTAATCACATCTGTGATATAATAAAAAACTTCAAATGGTTTGCTCAAAAAATTTAATGGAATTAAAATGAATAATAAAATTGTTTTTGTGAAATTTTTTTTTGCTTGCAATTAATCAGCTTAATTTTGTATCCTTTATCAATTGATCTCTTTTTCTGTTATAAGTCTTTATAAATTTTATTGGATTATGATCTAAGCTGGTTCCAATCTGTCATCATTATACGCCTATTGTGGTAAGTAATTTGTGCCACTGGAAGTGAATTAAGTGCCAAAATTTTTATGCCAGCTAATATTAGTTTTTGAAATATAATCGCTGGTTATATTTTGAATTAGTGGATCACAAATGAATTTGGTTGATATAGTTAATTAAGTCATACAAATTAATGACTCTTTACAAATTACTGATCAGTTGTGTATCTTCACTTGAAGGGTTTTTAAAAAACCTATAATAGATGTTGATTTCTAGATATAGATTGTTTTTGATATTGTTTATAATCTACAATTCAAATTCAATATACTAGATTCATTATAATTTTTCAAATACAAGTGTCATATATGTAGACCTGAGCTATAGGTTCTTATAGTAGATTAGCTTTGATAAATATCGAATTGATGATCTAAAACCTGTAAAGCTGTATACTATTACCGTTTAATATTGTGTACGTATAATCCATCTAAAATAATATAGTTAATTAAATTACTCTTAGATCGACACATGTAATTTTAAAATTAGCCGCCATGTTTCAAAACTATATAAATACATTGAAGCCCCCAGGGTCAATCTGAATTTCAACCTAGATCCTCCAATTTTATTGTTTTAAAATGATTTGATCTGCCATATATATTTGAATTTTGACAACCTTTCTGAGTTTAGTTTCATGTGGATTTGATCCGTTGAGTAATATTAGTCTATTAATTGATCCCATTATGAGTGATCTAACGGGGCTATTTTTCAGGTTTCCTATCCCAAATTTTTATAACCAATTGAATTTAACATATTGACGTTTAATCCACCTATATATTATCAAATTATCACAAACGTGTATTGATTGAGTAATATGATTAGGATATATAACTTAATAAACACTTGATTATGTATAAACTTGATTTTGTTAATGATCAAATCAGTTTATATACAATGATCATTTCGTCATTTCAAATTTTATACCTTGTAGACTTTTAGATATATTAATTATCGATCGATCTTTTAATTATTCTAAGCTTTACCGCCGTGGCTTTGAAATGCTATATAATTATCTTAGAAACAGCTCCTTAACTAATACGCTTTTGTGTAATTTATTTTTGAAACAATAATTACTTTTAATAATAGCCGCCAGCTGTTTTAAAACTATATAAACGTATCAAAATCTTCATTTGACAAACATTAAAGCTTATATAGATTTCTTGTTTAGCTTGATTCGATGTTTTGTTAAGCAAATATTTTGAAATGCTTTTTGGATTTTACTTTTAATTTAAACTTATATGCTGTCCATTTAATTGAGCTTGATGACTTATGATCCGTTTTTTCCTTGGGTTGATAGTGCGTCAACGTACTCGTCGATATTGATTGAGTTCATAAGGGCTAGTATTTGTTAATATTACCAATTATCAATATCATTAATTATGATATTTTTACTTTTGGGGTTGTTATTAATGGTCCTGTTAATGTTTAATCATGTTCGATGTTATTTAATTGATATTATTATAAAATAAATGATTGATAAGATTTATAGATATGACTTGAAGAGATTTTGAGTCAATTTATATTGAAGATCATATATCTTAACTTTTATAGAGCATCAACTGTAGTTGAATTTTGTTAATAATATAATATAGATTGTATATTCAATATCCTAATCATACCTATGATTATACTTACATAATTGTACCTCTAATTCATATACACCCATTTAATGAACTAAAGGTGTTTATCCGGTTATTTCATAATAGATACTTTAATTTAACCGCCATCAATATTGTATTTGTGTACGTAAAATTATTGAAAATTAAAATATTTCTGTATAAAAAGGTCAAAAAACTCCCAAACTTGAATTATAATAAATTATAATGAATGATACTCAACAGGATATAGTTTAATGATCAAATACTTCAAAATTTTTGTCGTGATATATTGAGCCATTTCAACTTCATTGATTTCTGATTGATCAGGGGTTCAAATTTTGATCGGATAATATTGATTCCTTTAAAAATTTGTGTGTGTGAAATGTTAATCTTTTTTTTGGTTGTAAATTTTTGTGTTGTTCAATAATTATGAATATGTCTTATAGACCCTTGTTTATAATTTGGAATATTATATTCAATATATAATAATGATTTTAGTATGGATCTTTAATATTGATCTTTAATTTGATCATTTATTCTATATGATTGAATCATTTTTTCACTTTTGCATATACCTGTAGATGAGCTTTTCCTCCAAATTTGAGAAGTCCCAGCCAGACTTCCACCGCCAAAATTCAGAGACCTCCCAGCCAAAAAAACCTAGTCTCCTACATAGTTAAGATGTTTGAATCATTTTTTCACTTTTGCATATACCTGTAGATGTTCTATGGGTGTAAAATCACTAGGATAAATTTAGTTGATGTAATATTATGAATTATGACTATTGTAGTATACCATACCTGATCATTTCCTATACCAATTCATTTGTATCCTCTATTAAAATCAATAGTCACTTCAATTAATTAGTCACGTCTCTGATGCTGTGATGTTATCTTTGATTAAAAAATTTGTAAAATCCTATGATGAGAAGTTGAAAAGATTAATTGATCAAACAACTGTTTAAACTCTTAATCAAATCAATTACCCAATAATAATTTATAACTGTCAGTCAATCTTATTGAAAGATCAGTTTGAATTATGGATTAACTAGATTTCCCATATCATATCCATTTAAAACATCACCAGCTGTATTTTGATATATATCCTTGAATGATTATTGATATAATTGGAAAAGATATTTGCTTTATAATTATCGATACAAAAATTAAAATAAAGATAATTTGCGGCCGAGATC